AAAGACAATCTATGTCTCTTTGTCTTCACTGCAGGCACTTTATAACGACAACCTGATGGAAGCAGTTGAAAATCATTAAAGAGAGGCTGATCTGAACACAACAGGACAGAGGTTGCCTTCCTCAGCACCTGCCTGTTATAAAAGTCCACAAGCTGGACCTGAGACCTCCCTGAAATCTTGCCCGCCACTTTAACCAGGTTGTTAAGTCTGGTCTTATTATTCAGGGACATATTACCGTACCAAGCAATGATACAGAAAGTTAAAACAGATTCAATCAAACTTTTATAAAAAAGAGTCATCATTTCAGATGAAACATTAAAACCTCTCAACCTCCTTAAAAAGTACAGTCTTTGTTGAACCTTTTTCACTGTAGCAGCAAGATGTGACTCAAAGGACAGTCTTATCAAGAACAACCCCCAAATACTTATAACTGTCCACCAGTTCAATGGCTGCACCATTTACCACTGTAAACGCAGGATGAGGGGATGACTTCCTGAAGTCAATAACCATGTCCTTGGTTTTCAAGGTGTTAATCATTAAGAAGGACTGATCACACCATGAAACAAACTCATCCACAACAGGCCCATGGGAATCCTCTTCACCATGAAGGAGGCTTACAATGACTGTGTCATCTGCGTATTTAATGAAATGCCTGTTGGCCTGTGTACTGCGACAGTCATTAGTGTACAAAATATACAGTAGAGGAGAGAGACAACAACCTTGTGGTGAGCCAGTAGAAGATTTCAGCTGTTTGGAAAAACAACTGTTTACTCTCACACACTGAGATCTGTCAGTTAAAAAGTCTAAAATCCAACCAACGAGATTAAAATCAAGTTTAAACTGGTTAAGAAGGTTATCAACTAAAAGATGTGGCTGGATAGTATTAAAAGCTGAAGAAAAATCAATAAATAAGAGCCGAGCATGAGCTTTGGCGCCATCAAGATGGCGATAAAGGAAGTGATAAAGGGTGGATGTCAACATTAGAGCATCAGTAGACATAAAAAAAGAGGTCACTGATTTGGAGACAGAAAATTTTTAGATTTAAAAAAGATCACTGCAGTCTGAATTTTGGGAATGGTGTGTAGCTTTGCAGACAGACAGACAGACAGACAGACAGACAGACAGACAGACAGACAGACAGATAGATAGATAGATAGATAGATAGATAGATAGATAGATAGATAGATAGATAGATAGATAGAACTATCTATCTATCTATCTATCTATCTAAAAACACCCATAAGTGAAATCATAACAACTATTTCTGCATGCGCCTGCCTCTATAACCACAATGTGTAGTGTCATAGAGGCAGGCACATGCAGAAATACTTAATGGCGGGAGGGTGATGAAGATTATGATCTTCATTTCAAAGGTGAGAAAAGGAAGGTGAAGACGAGAACAGAAGACTAGAAGTAGTGTAGAGAGAAGGAGGTGAGGTTGAAAGATGAAAGTGGTGGGGTGATGGAGGAAAGGTTAAGAGAACTACTTGTTTAAAGGAGAGAGAAGTGGAGAGAGGAGGAAAGAATAGAAAATTATGGCTCAGCCTGAGCTGAACCTTCATCTCCTCCACCTTTGTGTTGCTGGGAGATTTTTTTGCCTTTGGAAGCAGCTCCAGATGCAGCTCTAGTTCGAGGCTTTCTTCTCCTGCTCTTTCACCTTCTTCAACTCTTTTACTTTCCTTTGTAATGTTTCCTTTGCTTCTTTTTCCTGTCTTTTCAGCCATTTGAGGGCTTTTTTACACTCTCTCTGTAAGTTCAGTGTCTGCTATTTCTGTCTTAATTCCCATTACTTCCATCTTCTCCTCTACCAGTGTTGTCTGGACTTCCAACAATTCCTTCTTTCCATTTTCAGCTTTCTTCTTTGCACACAGTGTAAAGAGTTTGTCTTTGTAGAATGTTGTGAGTTTGTTTACTGAGTTTGTCTATTGTCACCTTCTTCTCCTTCAGGCTGCTTCACGTAGTTGCTCTTTCAGCTAGCAGATTTTCAATGGCCTGCATAAGTCTTTGTGAATCCTCTTTTAACTGGAAGTTCTCAGCCTGGGTTGCTTCTCAATCAATTCACAGATGATAGTCCGTGGAGCAGCGCTCACCAATCCTGTTGTTCACCTGGAAATGCAGCTACATTAGAGAAGTTCAGAGGAGTTGATGTTTTCTTCTTCTCACGTTGCCCGTTGCGGACTGTAGTTTCTATCTTGTTGCACAGCTACTTATGTAGACACACTTCTCTAGCAGTTGTAGAAGTGGTAATGTGTCCGCTTACTGACAAATCAGACAGTTAGGAGGAGCTAAATTTTTTAAATAGTGTCTCAAGTCTTTGTTTTCCTGAATGAAAATCAGTAATAAATACAGAGTCCTAAATGCAACTTTATTGCTTGATTTTTAAAACCTTGTGGCTGAAAATAAAAGTGTTGCCTCATTCATGTTGTTGCGTTAACAAAGTTGGGCGTCCTTGTATGGTGAGAGCAACACGTAAAAACGAAAACTATCTTATGGAAATTTGAAGATGAATTTAAATGTCTCCCATGTCTTAACAATAAAGCTTTTATTTTTTAATTCACACAGTTTTCTTCCTGCCTTCAAACAGGCCACACTTTATTAATATATCAGCTCTTTTCCATTCTTACTGACCAAAACATTTACATCACTGTAAACACAAAGATACTGTACAGCGCTCTTGCACCTCTAATTTATCAGCAGAAGCCCAGTTACTTGCATTCTAATCTTATAGTTTACTCTTCCTTTGTAAAACAGCTGGGTTAACTTAGCAAGTTGATAATTAGTTGCTTGTGCCCACTTCTCCTGATCTCCTGAGTCAGGGTGTGTCAGTTCAACTGGTAGAACGATACCCTGGGTGTGTTGAACCTGATTCATACCACAGGGCTCAGAGTTCTGCTGAACAGTCTATTTGTTCTAAAGTTTGAAACATGCTCTGCCTACACTGAACAGTACACCAAAAACATAAAAACCTCTCCTGTTGCCTAGCAAAAGCAGCTGTTAACCAATGGATGCTGTGAAAAGTTTTACTTTTTTAGGTTGTTTCAATGTTTATGAAAGAAGACATGTCCAAGTATCCCAGGCTGAGATGGAAAAGTAAAATAATGCCGGACAGTCACTGCAGGAATTAACATCAGCCATTAAATTTTCTTTAAACAGAGAAGCTGGGTCCACCTCAGGAAAGTTCAAGCAATCGGCACATTATTTCCTGCATTCTGGTGAACTTTTTCCCCAAATGTAATTTAACAGCTCAGAAGTGTTTCAGCTTATTTCTGCTCATGTTCAGAACTTTCTGTACTTTGCACACAGATCTGAGTTTTAGGACTCGCGTTCATCTAAACAAGTCTGTCTCAAAACAGGAAGCACAGAAAACATTATCCTAATAATAGGAAAATAACCATCACACCAATGTCACACTCTCGCCCTTTACATACTAGCGTCTCCATCACTGAGATCATAACAGCGATTTTTGTGGATGTGCATGTTTGTGCACGTGCTACTTCATCTAAGCCTCTGCACACGCACCAGATGATCTTTTGCTGTGCAGCTTTGCACTCATTCTTCATACTAATAATCATTTGTTCTTGTTATTCGCTGTTGGTAAACGCTCATTTGGGGCCCGCTGATGATTATGAGAAAGCGCCTTTCACTGGATGCCTTGAGCATCAGTGCTATCTGCACACCTCAATAAAAAGCATTTTCCCTTTCTTCTCTCTTTCTTCCCCACCTCATAAATATTATACAGTACAAGGCAGCAGAGAGCGATATGTACAGCAGCAGATAAGAGACGCACTGTTTGGGTTTAACACTTGAAAGTCCAAACTGACGTCAACTTGCTGATGTGACTGAACATATCTATTAAAGTGGCTCCTCTCTGAAGTGTGCCCACACATTCACTTTCTCTTGTTTGCAAGTTTAAAAGTCAAATATAAAAACAGCAGGTCCAATTGTTTATCTTGTGTACTTGGAAAGGTTTGCATAACCTGTTGTGTTGTGAAATCTGCTCAGATCTCAAGGGTCAAAAAGAAGAAAGAATCTTGAGATCAAACTATTTAACAAATCCACCTGTCACCTGGCTGACCTTCTCACTGGCTGCCTGAAATACACAAACTTTTACACTTAGCTAGATTAATGCGATGGTGTTGTGTTTAGTATGTTGCTTTGTTTCTTTTTTTTTGTCTTTTTTTGCTTGTTTTCTATTCTTCTCCCAACAGGTGATCCAGGAGATTTTTATTTTTTTTCTCCCCCCCTTTCTCACTGTCCCTCTCCCCTTCTGTTTTTCCTTTCCTTCCTCTTTCTTTCTCCCTTTCCTATCTCTCACTCATGTCTGTCCCGTCTGTAACATCTGAAAATAAAATATAATAAATAATAAAAACAAAGATCGACCAAATGGACCAATACGGCAATGCCACGATGATCCATTTGGCAAAGTAAATCCATTGGGTATCCTTGTTGGTCTTCAGACAACAATTCTGATGGCTAAAGAACCAAATGGGACAGGCGAAAAAAAAAAAAAAAAAAAAAAAAAAATACACAAAATGATGTTTTTGTATTTTCAGATGTTAAAGTAGTTTAAGTGTTTTATTAAATTTTCTTCCTGACTTCACCTGCTGGCTTCTCATGAACTCTTCTCATGAATGTGTCCCTTTTCCCAAGGCACATATTTCATGTTTGTTTTCATTTTAATAATTGCTTTATGGATAACTGACAAATTCAATATTTATTGTGCATGTGCAGCAATCTTTGAACATGCCAATCTCCTTACCTCAGTCGACATTTTGAGAAAGACTTTTTTGTTGTTGTTGCACAATGATATCTAATTTAAGAATTTCTACTTTCCAAACATGGCATTACATCCAAATGATGACTACGTGAATATGTTTGTTGCTTAAAGGTCAGAAAAGAAAAGGTGATGCTTTGCAATTGTTTTGACCAGCAGTCCAAATACTAGAGTTAAGTTCAATTTTCAAACCTGTCAGAATCAAACTAATTCAGTGATCACGTACCTAAGATGGCAATGACTTCGTCGTCCTGAATGACCTCCAGTGACCCCGACACCACAAAACAGAGGGTGTCAACGCTCTCCCCGGCGTGAAAGATCAGGTCTCCTGGAGCGCAGTGGGTGGTCTGAAACTCGACTGCCAGTGAGCGCAGGCAGCCATCACTAGCTAACCTGAATGCTGGATGTTCGTTGAACACCTGAATAAGAGAATCAGATTGAAGAGTTAGACTGGGAAAAAATGACCAGACAGGATGTGGTGCATTATACTGCTGAAAGAGGCCACAGCCATCAGGGAATAGGGTGTACATGGTCTGCAACAACGCTTAGGTAGGTGGTACGTGTCAATGTGACATCCACATGGATGGCAGGACCCAAGGTTTCCCAGCGGAACACTGCCCAAAGCATCACACTACTACTGCCGGCTTTCCTGTTTCTTTTCAGCACTGATGACAGTTTTTAGACCAAATTTTAAAGCAAGTTTTTCTTTCAACGCCTTTGGATTGCTGACGCTCGAGGAACACAGACACACTACAACAGGCTTGGAGGGCTTTCTTTGCAAAAAAAAAAGTTCTCATCTCATAAGTGGACAAGAACACTTTAGATTTCGTTGCTTCCTCGTTTTACTATCTGCAGAAGTACACATTTTCTGATATCCTTGAGAAAATGAAACCGCTTCCACCCGGTGAGATAATCCATCAGAGTACCAGGGGAAGATTTTATTTGGTTTGTGCAAGAGTGTTTTTATATCAGTGCTCCTTGTCAATCACCTGAAGCCCTCAAGCAGAAATGTAAGCCTCCATCTGAAATAATCACTCAGAAGCACATCTCTCAAACTTCAGTGTCGCGTCTTTGTGGTTTCGCTCTTGGAGTCTTGTTTTGCCAGGACAGCAGGCAGCACACCGTCAGCAAATTGCAGCACAATGTGAGTGCATGAAGTGGTTGGGGTTTAAGGGATACAACACCTGAAATGTATCTAGTGTGGCACCGTTAAAGTGTTCACATCAGCTGCTTCATATTAAAACTGAAAGGGAAGAAAAAAGGAGAGGTTCAGATTTTTCCTGTTTTCTTTTTGTTAATCCATCCATCCATCCATCCATCCTCATCCGCTTTGTCCGGGGCCGGGTCGCGGGGGCAGCAGCCTAAGCAAAGAGGCCCAGACCTCCCTCTCCCCAGCCACCTCCTCCAGCTTATCCGGGGGAATACCAAGGCGTTCCCAGGCCAGCCGAGAGATATAATCTCTCCAGCGTGTCCTGGGTCTGCCCCGGGGCCTCCTCCCGGTGGGACATGCCTGGAACACCTCACCCAGGAGGCGCCCAGGGGGCATCCTTGTCAGATGCCCGAACCACCTCAGCTGGCTCCTTTCGATGTGGAGCAGCAGCTGCTCTACTCTGAGCCCCTCCCGAATGGCCGAACCTCTCACCCTATCTCTAAGGGAGAGGCCAGCCACCCTTCGGAGGAAGCTCATTTCTGCCGCTTGTATCCGCGATCTCGTTCTTTCGGTCACTACCCACAGCTCGTGGCCATAGGTGAGGGTAGGGACGTAGATCGACCGGTAAATTGAGAGCTTCGCTTTTACACTCAGCTCCCTCTTCACCACGACGGACCGGTGCAGCGTCCGCATCACTGCAGCTGCAGCCCCAATCCGTCTGTCGATCTCCGGCTCCCTTCTCCCATCACTCGCGAACAAGACCCCGAGATACTTGAACTCCTCCACTTGTGGCAGGAACTCATCCCCGACCCAGAGTGGGCACTCCACCCTTTTCCGGCTGAGAACCATGGCCTCAGATTTGGAGGTGCTGATCCTCATTCCCGCTGCTTCACACTCGGCTGCGAACCGTTCCAGTGCGAGCTGGAGGCCCTCACCCGATGAAGCCAACAGAACCACATCATCTGCAAAAATCAGAGATGAGATTCTGAGGCCACCAAAGCGAAAGCCCTCCGCCACTTGGCTGCGCCTAGAAATCCTGTCCATAAAAATTATGAACAGAACCGGAGACAAAGGGCAGCCCTGGCGGAGCCCATCACCCACCGGGAACGAGTCCGACTTATTGCCGGCAATGCGAACCAAGCTCTTGCAACGGTTGTATAGGGATCGAATGGCCCGTAGCAATGGGCCAGACACCCCATATTCCCGCAACACCTCCCACAGGACACCCCGAGGGACACGGTCGAATGCCTTCTCCAAGTCCACAAAACACATGTAGACTGGTTGGGCAAACTCCCATGCACCCTCAAGTATCCTATTTTGTTAATCACTTTGAAAAAAATGTGGGGCTTAATTAAAAATGTATTTGCATCTTAACCCAATCTTTGTGGGGGGAAAAGCAACTTAATGGACAGGACAGGACATGAAATACTGGTAAAAGTAAACAAAAATCTTGTTTTTTTTAAAAAAAAAAACAACTAATTCCACTTCTTTTGTGAAATAAAACCAAAGCACAATATCTTCTTCCTTTGAAACTCCTAAATGACATCCAGCTTTAATTTCCTCTTACAATTAAACAGAATGTCTTCTTGTCCTGTTTCACAATCTTTTATCATAGTCAAACATCCCTGAAAAATTAGATGTATTTGAAACGAATGTAGTGCGTGAGCTTTATTTCAGAAGAGACACTGAAAATCAGCCGCACTGCATGACAAGACTAATTTTAGTAACTTCTGACTAACTGTCATTGGAGACGGTTGTCACACAGCACAATTACCCAACTGAAGGTGTCCTCTGATCACGCCACTTTAGCATTTGACATCTCCTAGAGTTTTGAGAACAATATCATTGCATGTTAAGTGATATCTAAAAGACTCTGAGCACAATTAACCTTCACTCAGTTATAGAACAAAAGCTCCCGATGCTGATGCTGTATAGTCAAAAAAGCATAACATCTTTCGCTGCTTTGTATATGACCCACAGATATATTTGAATATACAAACCAGCAGCCATGCTTCTATTCAGGCACTAGTGAACTATCCTGGAGATATACAATGATAAGTGGAGACAAACTTTCTTTATCGGAACAAAAACAAAACAGAAATTTTATTTCTATTCCCTATGCCTTTCTCTCTTTCCTTTACCCCCAACCGGTCGAGGCAGCCAGTCATCAATCCCTACAATCATCTGATTGTAGGGATTTCTCTTTTAGTACCATAGAGTCTTTACTTTATGGTACAAGGCACTTTGAGGCAAATGTTGTACTGATTTGGTGCTGTATAAATAAAACTGAATCAAAATTGAACTAAAGAACTGAAAGGTATGCCATGCTATGCCACAGAAACATCATGTCTTACTTCCCATCTGACATAAGACATGATAGTTGTCACTAGCAGCTGATTTTTCTGGAATGAGGGAAAACATTATAAGAACAAGTGTGTAATTGCTGCAGGTGTTTGACTTAAAGCTGTGCCAAAGCCTTGACTCCAAGTTTATGCTAAGCCCCAGCAAGAAAAAGACTCTGTCCTCTCTCAGCAGTGTGCACACGCCTCTCTAATCTCAACTTTGTTGCCAACCATATTGAAAGGTCTGCTAAAGTGCAGCTATTAAAGAGACTCACTCAGACACATACGGTTACATATCATAGCAGGAGCTTATTTTTCACTACCTTGAGACACACATTATCGCATCTTTCATAACTCAATTAAGCATTGTAACAGAACTGATGTATGGATATATGAAAATAACTGCATACCTTCCTGTTGAGATGGACACAGATGTCGGCCCGCATGTCCTTGGGACAGATGGATAAGACCTGTAACACAAGAAACATGAGAGGGTGACGTGGTAGTTTAGACTAACAGCACCTTCCTGTTGTCCAACGGCTTCCTTGGTGACCTTCTCTGGATGGATACCAGGCATCCAGCTAGTAGGAGAATCCCAAGTAGACCCTGAGATTATATGAACCTCATTCGACTTGGGTTCTCTGGATTTCCCAAGTCTTGAAAATGTTGTTGGGGAGATAGATTCAGGGCTACTTTGCTTTGGTTCATCTAGGCTAGGCAACAGACATTTTTAAAAAGAGGTCAGCGGTCAGGGACAGCTACACTGTAGCCGTCACCTTCCTCTGTCATACTACATCTGTCGGATTGTCAAGTAATTCAAAGTGTTAAGAAAAGAACGTTTGAAATTCAAACCTAAAGACAATAGGAAATCATTTAAGCTGCGTGATGTTTGCTTTCTGCCTTCTTATTGTTTTTGCAGTGAGACCTGTTGCATTCCTGTTTTTATTCTCAGACCACCTAACTAACTCTGCATGATTCACAATTTAAAAACACATATCTTTATTTCTGTTGTGTGTGTCTTTACTCAACCACCCCAGTTCATGTTCTGTCTTAAGCAATCTGTAATAGCTCCTGTCTTTTAAGGCCACTCTGCCCAAAAAACTACTATTTCTGTGCTTGGCCGACTTCTGTATGCCTTCTAGGGGCAGCAGCCAGTTCTTGTGAGCTGTGGGCAGTAGTGGCATCACCTGGATGTCATAGGTGTGTTGTGCCTGGAGCAGATGACCGTATCACTGAAGTATTCCCTCTGAGGTTTTGGCTCACGAAGAATACTACATTTGTTGGCCTCATTATTAGAAAGCCCATTTTATCTGATTGTTCAACAATATGAGGATATGAGAGAAGCGTAACAAGGTTCCTTTTAAAAAACTTCTCATTGATGCCATGTGGCTGAGGAAGGGATTTGGAAGATAAATATTTCAACGCTCAATGCAGTGTTTTAGATTATGACAAACATGAGGTGTCTGTGCAAGGTGAAAGAACAATATATGTGCATTGAGTTTATTGAACATTGTTGCTGCAAACAGAAGCTAAATGGTAAATGGGCTTTTTCTTATATAGAGCCTTTCTACTCAGTTTGAGCAGTCAAAGCACTTTCTACTACAAGTTTCATTCACCCAATTACACACAAAATGCTTTATCTGACATTCACACAGATGCATCCTGGTTCAGTATATTGCCCAAGGATACTTGAGCACAGGGCTGTTGGTGCTAGGGATCAATCCAACAACACTCCAGTTGGCAGACACCCACTGACTACCACCTGACCCACAGCTGCTCCATCAGCCCTATCTTATTTTCATCCTGGGCAGTGTATTTGTAGTGTGATTGACTTGGGTCAGTAAGTCAGTTGCAGAAAAAGACCAGAGGCTTTCTTGCTCAAGAACACTTCAGCAGAAAGCAGATGCTGTCAGAGAAGATCAAAAACCTCAACTTCAAAGTGAAAGCTTATTTGTTTTGAAACGTGATTTTTCAGAAACTTCCCGTCTGTGTATGAGTGACAGATTTTATATTCCAGTTTGTTTAGTTGCATTCATTACCTCGCAGTGAAAACAACTGCAGCAAAGGCAGACTGTTAATGATAACCGTTTAGTGTAACTCATTACACACTTTTTAAAATCTGTCCCAATAAATGAAGTACTTAGCAAAATCAAAGAAAACAAAATATCATCCTCCATAAATGCTGCCATCTTACTTATGAACAAAATTGAGGAGGGGGGGAAACTTAAGAGAAAAAAGACATATAAGTCTTTTGTTTGCTCCATTTAATGTGGATCATACAGTATCAAGAAGCCTTTGGGAAACACTGGTGTTTTTGGGTGTGTACTCATATAAAGAGCTGACTATGAACCATATAACGGCTCCCAAAGTGACAAACTTATCTACTAATTGGTCTCAGCTCTGACAGTGAGGTATTTATCCAGAGAGCAGGAGCAAAACTAGCCTTATGTCTCTTCAAAAGTGTATAATTATCTGGGACTGATGAAGAAGAGGCTAAACTGAAAATAACGTTACTGGGAAAGTAAACTAAATGGGCAGAGAAAGAAGGCATGGACAAAACTTGAAAATAAATAATAAGAAGATTACATGAGGCTTATCTTGGATCATGAGTTTATAATGTGCCAGTCTCCAGTTCAGCCAAAAAAACAAAAAAAACAACAGGCTTTAATATTATTCCATATTTAATAAAGAACATAAAAATAAACAAAAGACAGCTAATCTGTCTAATATCCATCCATCCATCCATCTTCATCCGCTTATCCGAGGTCGGGTCGCGGGGGTAGCAGCCTAAGCAAAGAGGTCCAGACCTCCCTCTCCCCGGCCACCTCCTCCAGCTTGTCCGGGGGAATACCAAGGCGTTCCCAGGCCAGCCGAGAGATATAATCTCTCCAGCGTGTCCTGGGTCTGCCCCGGGGCCTCCTCCCGGTGGGACATGCCTGGAACACCTCGCCCAGGAGGCGCCCAGGGGGCATCCTTACCAGATGCCCGAACCACCTCAGCTGGCTCCTTTCGATGTGGAGCAGCAGCTGCTCTACTCTAAGCCCCTCCCGGATGGCCGAACTTCTCACCCTATCTCTAGGGGAGAGGCCAGCCACCCTTCGGAGGAAGCTCATTTCCGCCGCTTGTATCCGCGATCTCGTTCTTTCGGTCACTACCCACAGCTCGTGGCCATAGGTGAGGGTAGGGACGTAGATCGACCGGTAAATTGAGAGCTTCGCTTTTACACTCAGCTCCCTCTTCACCACGACTGACCGGTGCAGCGTCCGCATTACTGCAGCCGCAGCCCCAATCCGTCTGTCGATCTCCAGCTCCCTTCTCCCATCACTCGCGAACAAGACCCCGAGATACTTGAACTCCTCCACTTGGGGCAGGAACTCATCCCCGACCCGGAGTGGGCACTCCACCCTTTTCCGGCTGAGAACCATGGCCTCAGATTTGGAGGTGCTGATCCTCATTCCCGCTGCGTTACACTCGGCTGCGAACCGCTCCAGTGCGAGCTGGAGGCCCTCACCCGATGAAGCCAACAGAACCACATCATCCGCAAAAATCAGAGATGAGATTCTGAGGCCACCAAAGCGAAAGCCCTCCGCCACTTGGCTGCGCCTAGAAATCCTGTCCATAAAAATTATGAACAGAACCGGAGACAAAGGGCAGCCTTGGCGGAGCCCATCACCCACCGGGAACGAGTCCGACTTATTGCCGGCAATGCGAACCAAGCTCTTGCAACGGTTGTATAGGGATTGAATGGCCCGTAGCAATGGGCCAGACACCCCATACTCGCGCAACACCTCCCACAGGACGCCCCGAGGGACACGGTCGAATGCCTTCTCCAGGTCCACAAAACACATGTAGACTGGTTGGGCAAACTCCCATGCACCCTCAAGTATCCTCGAGAGGACAAAGAGCTGGTCCAGTGTTCCGCGACCAGGACGAAAACCGCATTGTTCCTCCTGTATCCGAGGTTCGACTAGCGGACGAACCCTCCTCTCCAGCACCCTGGCATAGACTTTCCCGGGGAGGCTGAGGAGTGTGATCCCCCTGTAGTTGGAACACACCCTCCGGTCCCCCTTCTTGAAGATGGGGACCACCACCCCGGTCTGCCAGTCCACAGGTACTGCCCCTGATCTCCACGCAACATTGCAGAGACGTGTCAACCAAGACAGCCCTACAACGTCCAGAGCCTTCAGGAACTCGGGGCGGACCTCATTGACACCAGGGGCTCTGCCACCAAGGAGTTGTTTAACTGCCTCAGTGACCTCGCCCCCGGAAATCGGTGGGTCACACCCCTCATCCCCAGACTCTGCTTCCTCCCCGGAAGACGTGTCAGTGGGATTAAGGAGGTCCTCGAAGTATTCCTTCCACCGCCCGACAATTTTCTCAGTCGACGTCAACAGCGCTCCGCCAGCACTATACACAGTGCAGGTAGAGCACCGCTTTCCCCTCCTGAGACGCCTGACGGTTTGCCAGAATCTCTTCGAGGCAGTCCGAAAGTCTTTTTCCATGGCCTCTCCGAACTCCTCCCACACCCGAGTTTTTGCTTCAGCCACTGCCCGAGCCGCATTCCGCTTGGCCTGTCGATACCTGTCGGCTGCCTCCGGAGTCCCACAGGCTAACCAAGCCCGATAGGCCTCCTTCTTCAGCCTGGTGGCTCCCTTCACCTCTGGTGTCCACCATTTGGTTCGGGGATTACCACCACGGCAGGCACCAACCACCTTGCGGCCGCAGCTCAATGCAGCAGCTTCGGCAATGGAGACGCTGAACATGGTCCATTCGGACTCAATGTCCCCAGTCTCCCTCGGAATGCTGTTGAAGCTCTGCCGGAGGTGTGCGTTGAAGATCTCGCGGACTGGGGCCTCTGCTAGACGTTCCCAGCACACCCTCACTACGCGTTTAGGTGCACCAGGTCTGTCCAGCGTCCTCCCCCGCCACCTGATCCAACTCACCACCAGGTGGTGATCAGTTGACAGCTCAGCCCCTCTCTTTACCCGAGTGTCCAGAACATATGGTCGCAGGTCTGGTGATACGATTACAAAATCGATCATCGACCTACGGCCTAGAGCATCCTGGTGCCACGTGCACTTATGGACACTCTTATGTTCGAACAGGGTGTTCGTTATGGCCAAACTGTGGTTAGCACAGAAGTCCAATAACAAAGCACCGCTCGGGTTCAGATCAGGGAGGCCGTTCCTCCCAATCACGCCCCTCCAGGTCTCGCTGTCGTTACCCACGTGAGCATTGAAGTCTCCCAGCAGGACAACAGAGTCTCCAGGTGGAGCACCTTCCAGCACCCCCCCCAGGGACTCTAAGAAGGCTGGGTACTCCGAACTGCCACTCGGCGCATAAGCGCAGATGACAGTCAGGACCCGTTCCCCGACCCTAAGGCGCAGGGAACAAACCCTCTCGTCCACCGGGAAAAACCCCAACGTACCGGCAGCAAGCCGAGGGGATATAAGAATACCCACCCCAGCCCGCCGCCTCTCACCAGGGGCAACTCCAGACTGAGACAGAGTCCAGCCCCTCTCCAGGAGACTGGTTCCAGAGCCCAGACAATGCGTAGAGGCGAGCCCAACTATATCTAGCCGGTACCTCTCAACCTCACGCACCAACTCAGGCTCCTTCCCCACCAGAGAGGTGACATTCCATGTCCCTATTGCCAGTCTTGGCAGCCGGGGGTCGGTCCGCCAGGGCCTCCGCTCCTGGCCGCCACCCGGCTCACAATGCACCCGACCCCTATGGCGCCTCCTGCGGGTGGTGGGCCTGCGGGAGGATGGGCCCATGTCTCCTCTTCGGGCTGTGCCCGGCCGGGCCCCATGGACTAAGGCCCGGCCACCAGACGCTCGCCCTCGGGCACCCTCCCCGGGCCTGGCTCCAGGGCGGGGCCCCGGTAACCCTATCCCGGGCAGGGTAAACTGTTCCCTCGATATTCTTTTCATGGGGGTCTTCTGAATCGCTCTTTGTCTGGTCCCTCACCCAGGACCAGTTTGCCATGGGAGACCCTACCAGGGGGCAAAAGCCCCCAGACAACATAGCCCCTGGGATCCCTGGGACACACAAACCCCTCCACCACGATAAGGTAGCGATTCGAGGAGGAGCTGTCTAATATCCTCAAAGTTAAATCAAACTGGGGAAATTTCAAATCTCAAAGTCTCAAAAATGGAGGTTCAAACAATATTATTGCAAAATGCAATATATACGTATATGTATGTATACATGTATGTATTTGGTTAATTAGCAACCAAGGCTTAATGTCTATTTCGTACAATTTTAGTACTTGGAAAAGAGAGCTTTTCATCTAGTATATATCTGGCATTTGGAACAGTTCTGTTCTAAATATTATTTATTATTTAATATGTATTTAATGGTAAATGATGTGGGGTGATTAGCTAACTCTGATATATGCACAAAGTATACAGGTATTGTGGTAGTGTGCTGAAATATCATCATGAAACATTATTCCTTTGGACCACTTTTCTATGGGTAATCGTCATAATGTGAAGATTTTATGTATGTGTGTTCCTTATTTCCTCCTAGATGAGAAGACCGATCTTGAGGAAACTTTGTATAAAGAAAATAAAATATCTAAATCACATATAAAAAATGTTTTATACAAGCTCTACAATCATATTTATACATTTGACAGGTCAGCTGAGTAGAGAATGGAATTTCAGATAAGAATCTTGTGCCATAATATAAGCATGCACATATTTGCATGTTCTCTAGCCCTGTGAAGACCATGCACTCGCTCAGGGTAGTCAACTTGATGATAATGACAGTGAGGAAGAGTGGAACCCACAGTTTTAAGGTGCAGTTAGGAGGTAATGTGTGTGGGTAAGCACCAACATCTGTATTGGTGTATGTGTGTTAGGAACATAGATAGGACTACAGAGGGGCTCATGAGGTACCAGGATTCAATGGTACTCCAAAAGTCAGAAATGTGATGTCCACCTCACATTTACAAGCAACTGCTTCCTGAAGTTCCACACATAACGGTTATTAATGCCACACACACACACAAACACACACAGGTGTAAAATGCAGGGTTCATACACCTTTTTCAGAGTCAAACTCAAGCATTTTTAAGCACTTTAAGGTCCATTTCAAGCTTTTCCAGCACATTACCAAAAAAAGTATGCATGTTTCACTTCACATCACCTCAGTAAGACCATGTGAAAGTTAAAACAAATCATATGAGGTTGACTGAAACACTTTTGTTCCCCTTTTGCTAAAACATAGAAAAACACACCACACAAAATACTGCAAAACAAAAAGGCTGCCTTATATGTAGATAGTGTCGAAACTCAAAACGCACATCTCACTTAAAATTTAAGACGTGTAAATGTGAACAAATCCACTTGTTAGAGATATTAATCTCCTGCTGAAAAAAAACAACCCCACAAAACAAGACAACTGCACCAAAAACCACAAAATACTACACACCGCAGCCAAATTAATATCTCATCAGATATTGATGCTTCTTTCATATGTGACACAAAAAACAGGAGACAGATGTTTGTTTGTTTTTTGTAGCTCATTCATTCAAAATTAACTGTAAGATGTTTAACTACATTGCTGCTGTGTTATTGTTGAAGTCCTAAATTATCACCTTTAAAGTGTTTGTGCTAATAACATCATGTACAGTAAGACAGGCATGGAGAACAGCACTGACTGGGAGAGGCTTTGAACAGATGACATACTCAGTTCAATTCAACATATAAGACTTTACGAATGCACAAGCATCTATCAAAAACCTATTTATTTAATCTATCATTTGTGAGGTTATTATGTACAATTATAATGTAATGTTCAGCTGCCTTAAATAAACAGGCAGCTTTAAAGTATGAAATATTCATTTGTCTACTGTCTCAGTGGCTGATAGTGCCCCACAGGCCTCAATGTGAGCTTGTAGCCATTATAATGTTGAAGTTGTTTAACGATTAACAGATTTTGAATGAAAGCAAGGGAACTTCGGTAGCACAAAAAAAGTGTCTATTCTTTGTGCACATATGGATCAGTCATATTACCATTGTTTCCCACTAAGGTGTTGCCAAAGGCACCTAGTTAATGCTTGAAAAAGCTGCAGCAATACACAAAAATATAATCAATATTCTATTTACTTGGTGACAACGCCGCTTTTAGCCTTCAATCAGAAAGCCTTAATTTGGCTAGTTAAGCATCGGGCTAAGGCTTAAAGCTTTCACTTAAGGAAAGTCACTCACATTACTGCTACTGCTACGTAATCTTAGTTAGGTTCACAGCATATTCCATAAATTACCATGCCATAACTAACTGTTATAACAGCGCTGCCATATTGCATCATACTGGGTGCATTTCAGTCATTTATACACATAGCTAGTTTCCTAGCTATGTGTAACGTACACACTCTCGAAATAAAATACACGAATAGAACTTAAATTTAATGTATATAATCTTCACCAAAGTGCAGATGTCTGAAACAAAATGAGACAATAGCCTTTAATATGTACATTCCCAAATTTCATACATTTTGGGGGGGAAAATTAAGAGTCTTTTTTTTTGTTAAGTTTCCTGACACTATATGTTTGTGTAAATTAGGTTAAAACTCATTTATATTCACTTTCATTACGGCACATAATACTGAAAAGAACACTTGTGTGTATTTTAAGATGTTTTCTCTTTGCTCTGAAAAAAATGTTATGTAGATTTTTATTTATTGATTGATTTACTTTAAGACTCTTTGAGAACACTGATACAGCAGCTAATTTTGAGACATATATGGGTAAATGCTCTTAAATGTACTGTTTTTGGATGTTATAAGCATCTATGACTATTAAATATAAAACCGTCACTCTCAAGCTTTTGCTTCCTGACACATCACTTGATACTTTGTAATCTGTATAAACGACACGGTGTCTGGCTTTTTCAATTCCAGCCCGGATGATTACTGTAGCACAAAATACCAAATCTCCATAAACAGATGGCACATCAGTAATACATTAGCTTTACCTGACATGTTGCGTCTCAGTCTCACCTTTTCCGTGTCGATGCCTTTGGTCATTGACCAGGTGGAGACAATGTAGTCCATTACTCTTTCACTTAAGCCCTTGGGAACTTGGTAGAGCTTCAGGAAGTCCCGGACACTGTTGAGCATCTCGTGATAACGATTTGTGTTGGCGTACATCTGCTGGAAAATCGTGGTCACATTTCCAAAGATGGTGGCATAGAGCAGAGCTAGAAAGCAAGTAGGAGAAGAAATATGAAATGTATAAAGCGCTCATTTCAAAAACATTTGATGAAAACAATTATTTTGACTTGAACTAAATATCTGCTTACTGCAACACACCGAGCCAAAAATCTAATGTTTTAAAAAGAAATGGAGCCTGCTTTGTTTTAATTTCTAACCATAAATGTACACCTTGCAAGAAGCCAATGGTGAAAAGCACTACATAAATACTAATTTGGTTTATGTGCCCAATGAGTTACACCAATCCACCACAACATTTAAAGCAACTGGTCCTTCTAGATAAAAGAGTCTTGGCTTGGCAGACCTTCCAAACAAATCGTACTTGTACAGTCATGAACATTAGCACGTATTACACTAACTGAAGCATGGAGTTTGAGATGAAGATCCTGAGTCTTTTGCAATTTCTCTGAGCATGGCACAGTCTGACCTTCAGTGAAACTGCTGGAAAGATTGAGGCATTGGGTTTATACCATCCCATCCATCCATTCGCTTCCGCTTATCCTTTTCAGGGTCGCGGGGGGCGCTGGAGCCTATCCCAGCTGTCATAGGGCGAAAGGCGGGGTACAACCTGGACAGGTTGCCAGTCTGTCGCAGGGCTAACACACAGGGACAGACAACCATTCACACTCACATTCACACCTAGTGGCAATTTGAATTATCCAATTAACCTATCCCCACAAGCTGCATATCTTTGGACAGTGGGAGGAAGCCGGAGTACCCGGAGAGAACCCACGCAAACACGGGGAGAACATGCAAACTCCACACAGAAAGACCCCGGCCTGATGGTGGAATTGAACTCAGGACCTTCTTACTGTGCGGCAACAGTGCTAACCACCGTGCCACCGTGCTGCACCGTTTATACCAATACTCCTGAATACTCCAGACTAGCAAAGCACCAAATCTCTGCTTTTATAGAGGTGATCCCAATAGCTGATGATCATTTAATTGGGTGCATTTGATTAGCAGAACATGGCTTCTACTTACCCTCTGACTTTCTATGGAAGAAGAGAGGGTATATTTAGTTTGTTACACTGCATAGAGTCCCAGGAAAACTTTCTTTTTCACATGACTGTAGGTACAGCTTTTGGTAACAAGACCCTTCTGCCAAGGGTCCGATGCGATGGACAAATGGAAAAACTTCAACAGGAAAAGTCCTGTTGTCTAAGATGAAAAAGGCAAAGATGACTTAGAGTGGCTGAAAACCAAAGAGGTTTGTGTTTGGCTTTGGTTTGTGTTAGGTATTATACTGAATAACAGCTTAAGAATTTAGATGTCTAGACAGTGTTTAGTTAGAAATCGCGACAGTGTAGAAGCTTCAAGGTGAAGGGACACCAAGTCCTATGATAAGGTCGGTCATCCAGACCCTGTGAGATAAAAACAGTATCCAGTCTCAGCCAGAATTACTCTCACGGTCATTAGAAGAACAAGTTATCAGGGAAGAGATGTGAGGAAGGGGAACCTTCCGCCTTCTAGGTGCAGGTCGCCAGGGCAGAGAGACAGAGCGCTGAGAAGCTGGGACTAGCCAAAGCGCCAAAGAAGGGAGAGTTAAATTTAAACTCTAACTTCTCCCCACCTGTTTTAAGCAATCTGATACGTGCACATTTTCCATATAAAACTCTGTGTAATGCTAAGATAGGTACTCTCATGGCTGCAGTTACTGTTTAGATGAACGATGTAGATAAACGAACGCGTTCATAGTGTCAGCACGCCAAATATCTTTAGGTAAGATAATCACCCCACGCTGTTCTCTGATGCATTGATCGCAGGGTGAATGTTAGACAGAATGCACTTAAGCACAGGAAAAAGTTCTTGGGTGGGTAGATGAAAGGAGGCGTGTTGTATAAAGCACGTTTAATGCCATGGTAGAGCAGAAAACTGCTACATAAGAACCAGTCCAGTTACCAAATATCTTCAGATGAGTATACACTTGTAGGAGAGAGCTGCATGACTTGAAAGACTTCAAAAACAACATTAACTTGGCATTATTTGAAGCAGATGGGTAATCACCAAAAACTGACTTTTTATTAGCCAAATACAAACAGATGTTTGTGACAGTGGCTTAGAGGGGTGCAGGTTTGAGTAATCATCTAAAGCCACTTACAAAAGTCAGACAAACTTAGAGATCAGTGTTAGATGTATATTATATAATGTCTCCTGGTGATCAAGAGTGTTTCTCACCTTTGAAATTTAAAGCCATCATGCGTCACTGCTCAGCCTCCTCACTATCCTGCTTGTACTTTACTGTTTCCATAGAGACCTCACTCAAAATAGTTTTTTGCCTCCTCCCAGACAATACAAGTGACAAAGGAAAGAAAAAAGAAACGATAATTTGGAAGACTTCTGAAAAATCTTGTGGTTTGCAGGAGGTGGAGGGAATCTGACGACATGATGTGTGAGAATGCAAGGCTGGGGCAGAATGAATGTACAGTACAAAGGGGTAGTTTGTAAAGAAGGATCAAAGAGGCAAATGTTGGATTTTCTTGCAGCAACTGTGCATTCAAGATAAACTCTCTATATAGATGCTGTATGAGGTAGTGTAAAAATAGTAAATTAAAAAAACAAAGAAAGTGAACCAGAAACATGACAAAAACAAAGTGTGTATGTGTGCTTTCTTTTCCTCGGACAGTTTATCTCACAGAAGCAAGTCTACAGAGACACAAAAAGAAAAGAGTGTGTCTGAAAGAGAGACAAAACAAAGAATAAAAGCAGGACATTCACACACATAAAGGTGTTGCATGTCAGTGGTGAGATAAGTCCTTCAAAGTCTGCTGCCTCCCAGCCTACAAAACCTTTCCAGGACCCCGTCAGCAATTCAGGAAGAATTCCAACAGCACATCTGGCCTGGAACTTAAGGTTCAGACTCACAGCTCTCCGCCCCCCAAACCCAAGATTTCTAATTGGCTGACTTGATAGCCCATAGGGAGGTAAGTGTCACCTCAGAACACAGAAAGGCAATGGTTTGAAGGTTAATTCAACCTTGGGATATCAATTTCTAGCCAATTTTATTTTATCTAAAGTAGTGACATGTGGATGTGTGGATGGGTATGAAGAGAAGCTGCAGAAGAAATCTGTGTCACCACAGTAAGTAACCACAGTACAAAAACTATTTGGGATGAAAAGCTAATTAGTAGCATTCATCAGGTGTAAATGAGGTCTGGCTATCAGCACTTTGGAATACTGGTTGTCAAGGAAGCTCGAGACAAATAACAGGGCTCAAATTAAAACAGACTGCCAAAGAATTGAGCCTCCAAAGGTACAAAAGCAAGATATTCAGGAGTCTTTAAGATAAGCACTTGAACTTATAGTGTTAACAAAACAGTTTAAATATGTTGAGTTTACAATTTCGGTACTTTCTCCTTTGCATTTCTATAACAGTCAAAGTCTGTGTTGACTTAAGCACATTTCCATAGCTTATACAACCTGCCATGGCTTGAGTTTGGCCTGTGGAAATCAACCTTTTGAAGCTCACCACAATTGAGTCAGTCAAAGAAAGTCAAGAACTGGAATCATGCTGTTAAATAATATTTGCACCATATTTATAAACTAGTGTATAAAAATCTTGACACAAAGTTTTAAGAGTTCTGTCGATGAATCATTTCCCTGAAAACTTGGCTGACTCCATCTATTTTGCCAAAATTTCCTTGCAGCAACTCAAAATAGCACTCATTAGTTTGCATACATGAGAACTCCAAATGAGATGATAAATGGTAAACTGAAGGATCTCCACCAGATCTGAACCAGAGCATCACAGAGCTCGTGGACAGTCTGAGATACAACCTGGTGACGTTGAACGGAGCAAAACATATCCCAGAGGTGTTCCAGGACAGGATGAAATCCTTGGACCCAAGGTTTCATCCATATAACTAACGGCAGTCAGGGTCCTATTGCACAGCCTGTTGAAGTCTGTGTTTCCCTCCATGGCTACGTCCCACCAGACCATCAATGACCCACCACCAATCCGCAGCATAGCATTCTCCACGGCTTCTCCAGACCATTTCCCATCTGTCACATGTGCTCAGGGTGAACGTACTCTCATCCGTGAAGAGCACAGATGGTGGACAAGGAGTGGACCTGCCATTTCTGGTATTCCACAGCAAATGCCAATCGGGCTCCACAGTGCTGGACCGTGCATGGTTCCACTAGAGGATGTCAGGCCACCCTCATGAAGTCTGTTTCAGTTGTTCTGAGACATTCCTACAGTAGCCTGCTGAAGTTCATTTTTTAGGGCAGTGGCAATGCTCATTCTGTTCCACAAAGGAGCAGGTACCATCCCTGCAGGTGAGTTAAGGGCCTCCTGCAGCAGATGGCCGCCCTGCCTGAGCCTGGTTTTGTTGAAGGTTTCTTCCTGTTAAAAGGGAGTTTTTCCTTCCCACTGTCACCATACGATTGTTGGGTTTTTGTCTGTATGTGTCATCGTAGGGTCTACCTTACAATATAAAACACCCTGAGGCAACTGTTGTTGTGATTTGGCGCTATATAAATAATTGAACTGAATTAATTCCTGGAATCTCCACACTCCACACTCTTGGAACTGTGCTGGGAGACACAACAAGCCTTTTGGAAAGGGCACGCATTGATGTGCCAACCTGGAGAATTGGAGTATCTATGCAACCATTGTAGAGTCTAGGTATCTCCTAATGCTACCAGTAGTGACAATGACCCTAGCCAAATGGAACCTAGTGAAAAACCAGGAGCGTAAAAATGTCAGTGGCCTCCACCTGTAAAACCATTCCTGTTTTAGGGTTTGTCTCATTGTTGCTCCTCTAGTGCACTTATCGTTTATTTCATTAACAGAAAGTAGCTGATACTGATTAACAACCCCTTCCTCTACTTATCTGATTAAAGTGTACCTGCAGTTTTTTTGCACAGTATATGTATTTTGGAGAAAATATATTCATACAGAAGTATCTGATCTCAGTAGGAGAGTAAATAAATAAATACAGAAGTAACCAACAAAGCCCTGGAATCACAGAAACCTGTTACTGAT